TGCTGCAGGCTGCTAGGCTTTATAATGGGGAGGACCCTTGCCTGTAATGGGTGTCTTTTCTGTCCGAGGCTGAGTGCCTTGCACATGGATAAATGTCCGTTAATTAAATGTCTGCCAACGTAAAACATTGGCATTTACACGCATTGCCTCATGCAGTCTTCACAGCCCACCTTGTAACACCAACTTTGTCATATAAAATATAAGCCAAGATTACCATAAAAAACTCAGTTTTGTACATGAGTAAACTGACACAGATGATTAGCCACTTGTTGAAAGCTCCACAACCGGGGGTTAGGAGCTTCCTCTAAATAAAGCCATTTAAAATTTTACCTTTTTATAATGAAATGGGACCTAATAAAAAACTTACAAGCTTTTCCATAGGAAGGAAGCCATAAATAAATTGAAAAGACAGCCGATGGACTGGGAGGAAATACTTGCAAACAATGTACTGACAAAGGCTTAATTTCCAAAATACACAAAGAGTGCATTCAACTCAATAATAAAAAGAACCCAACCCAATGGAAAAATGAGCAGACTATCTAAATAGACATTTCTTCAAAGAAGACAAACAGATGGCCAGTAAGCACATGCTCAGTATTGCTAATTATTAGAGATGCAAATCAAAACTACAGTGAGGAATCACCTCACACCAGTTAGAAAGGCCATCATTTAAAAGTCTACAAATAACAAGTGCTGGAGAGGGTGTGGGAAAAAGTGAACCCTTCTATACTGCTGCTGGGAATGTAAATTAGTGTAAGCACTATGGAAAACAGTATGGAGATTCCTTAAAAAACTAAAAATAGAGTTGCCATATGATCCAGCAGTTCCATTTCTGTGCCTGTATCGGGAGAAAACTGATAAGATACGTGCACCCCCATGTTCATCGCAGCACTGTTCACAATAGCCAAAATATGGAAGCAACCTAATTGTCCATCAACAGATGAATGGATAACAAAGATATGGTAAATATATAAAATGAAATATTGCTCAACCATAAAAAGAAGGAAATAATGCCACTTTCAGCAACATGGATGCGCCTAGAGATTATCATACTGATTAAAGTAAGTCAGAAAGGCAAATAACATATGATATTACCTATATGTGGAACCTAAAACATGATCCAAATGAATTTATTTACAAAACAGGCTCACAGCCATAGAAAGCAAACTTACTGTTACCACAGGAGGAAAGGGGGTGCAGAGGATATAAATGTAGGAGTTTGGGATTAGCAGGTACAGACTACCAGGTGAACAACAAGGTCCCACTGTATGGCACAGGGAACTATGCTCAATATCCTGTGATAAACCATAATGGAAAAGAATATGATAAAGAATATATTTGGATCACTTTGCCGTACATCAGAAACTAACATTTCTGAAACACTTGACAAATCAACTATCAGTTCAGTTCAGTTGCTCAGTCATGTCTGACTCTTTGTAACCCCGTGGACTGCAGCACACCAGGCTTCCTGCCACCAGCTCCCAGAGTTTACTCAAACTAATGTTCATAGAGTCAGTGATGCCATCCAACCATCTCATCCTCTGTCCTCCCCTTCTCCTCCTGCCTTTAATCTTTCCCAGGATCAGGGTCTTTTCTGATGAATCAGTTCTTCACATCAGATGGCCAAAGTATTAGAGCTTCACATCAGTCCTTCCAATGAATATTCAGGATTGATTTCCTTTAGGATTGACTGGTTTGATCTCCTTGCTGTCCAAGGGACTCTCAAGAGTCTTCTCCAACACCACAGTTCAAAAGCATCAATTCTTCAGCACTCAGCTTTCTTGATGGTCCAACTCTCACGTCCATACATGACTCCTGGAAAAACCATAACTTTGATTAGACGGACCTTTGTCGGCCAAGTAGTGTTTCTGCTTTTTAATATGCTGTCTAGGTTGGTCATATCAATAAAAATAAAGTAAAATAAAAATTTACCATTTTAACCATTTTAAAGTGCATACTTCTGTGGCATAAAGTATATTCACAATGTTACATAATCATCACCATCATCCATCTTCTTCGCCTGTGCCTTTTTTCCGCTTGTTACACTGCTCGCCTTCGTTCTTTAGGCACTTAAAAGTGCCTAAAACTTTGAGATCAGAGTAAAAACTCTTCTTGAGCAAAGACACTGAAGGAACCTGGAGTGTTTAAACTTTCAGGCCAAGCTGAACACTGAGTGGCGTCCAAGTTTCTTTCCTGTGTCCTCAGCCGTCTCTGTTTCATGTGGAGTTTCGTGTTGCCTAATAGTAGTTGAGTATGTTGTTTTAAACATGAGTGCATGCTATTATGTTTGCTTATTCTCACACTGAATTGGAGCTGTTTAAGTCTATTCCTCCTGTTCCTTGGCCCAGGGAGGCAGTGATCTAAATGGTCTCAGCGCTGAGGGGGGCTGTGTACCTACTCTGCGGGTTAGGGAGCAGCCAGGCTCATGTCCTCTTTTTCCGCCTTGCACTTGGGAAATGATTGTGCTTTGTCATCCTTCACTCCTTCCTGCCAGGAGACTTGTTCTCTACTTTCAGTTTCACTTTGGGGTTTAAAAATGTTTCTTAATCTTTCTCTGGCTGAGTTCTCTGGATAATATAGGTACAAGTAAGCAGTTTTGTTGGCTTGGCTGTGGGTTAAGTAGGAATGTGTGAAAAGAGGTTTGAGGAGAGGGGGTGGATCCGCCTAAGTAGAGTAACTGGACTTTTCCACTTGTTCGTGTTTCTGCTATGCTGGTCTCAAAGTCCTGTCTGATAGCAGGCACAGCCAAGTGGTGAAATATGACACAGACTGAATATGAGAATTGGCAGTTGTCCTGAGTGCACAAATAGTTTCTTCCCTCCCAAGCATATTTTACAGCTAAGTGAACAGAAAACAATTCAGGCTGTTTGCCTGAGACCTTTGGCAAAAAAAAAATTATCTTTATGAAAAGGTGGACACTTTTATTTAAAAAGTTTTCAGAAGAACAAAATAAAAATTCGGCCTCTTTTTATTTCCCCGTTTTATGTCTGATCTCTAAATGTCAGGCTGATTCCAGATAGACTCCTGAGTCTGTTGGTGAATGGTAGGATCTGGGCCTCCCCCCCCTAAATTCGACCAGTCACATATTCTCACTTTAGATAAGTACCAACTAAATAAGGAAGTTGCTGGAAGACTGAAGCCCACGCCTTCCTGTTGAATGGTCAAATAAGCAGGCACAGTTTGGACCCTCGCCCGACTCTGCTCTGTGTAAATTTTATCTAGCACACACGTGACAGGCCAGCATTTGGTGGTAGTGTAATTCATTACTCACTAATACTACAGGCCACCATTGCATGGGGCTTGACCTGAGGTAGCTGCTCTAAATATAGCCTTCCTTTCTGGCAGCTGCAAACACCTGGAAGAGTAGGCAGGCCCTCGGCAGAAAAGTATTTGCTCTTAATAGCATGTGTGTTGAACAGTTGTGTACTGTCAGACCTTATTTCATGCTATGTTTATGCATAATTAAAAACAACCCACTGGATCCATTGGCTTATGGTTGGGTTATATTTGGAAAAATGCTCTTTGTGTTGTTTTTCCTTGGGGACTGGGGATGATGTCACTAGTTTGAGGAAGACCATAAGGGAAACACTTAGTGTAATTACCAACAATTTCTTTAACGAACACAGCTTTCTTAAACCCCTTAGTGGCCTTTGGTTTCTGGCACTGATGAACCAAGCTGTCAGTTGTATGATTCTGTTCAGTTAGGGACTCTGGTTTGTATGCTTGGTAGTTCCTTAAGTAATTAAAAAAGAACACCAACATTTACAAAATAGTGCTTCTAAAAGGAAGCTACACATGGCTCGTAAAAGTGTAAAAGATAACTTGTGTGCTCAGTAGCTCAGTTGTGTCTGACTCTTTGTGACCCCATGGACTGTAGCCAGGCTTCTCTGTCCATTAAATTTTCCAGGCAAGAATACTAGAGCGAGTTGCCATTTCCTGCTCCAGGGGATCTTCCTGACTCGGGAATCAAACCTGCATCTCTTGCACCTCCTGCACTGGTAGACAGACTCTATCACTGTGCCACCTGGGAAGCCCTGAAAGATATTTAACCTCTCATGAAAAGAGAAAACATTTTCAGACCTCACCAAGATCTTATTTTTCACCCATCAGATTGACAAAAATACAAAGTGTTAAGAGAAGTATTATTAATGAATGAATGGGGAAATAGACACTCCATACATTCATGGTGAGAGCCTTTACTGAGTGTATAACTTTTTTTTTGCAGGAAGTTTAGGTATATCAATTAAAGCCACAAATACTACCTCTGTGTGTGTATGTGTATGGAAAAGAAAAGATAAGATAGGTATTTTTCATCGTATGAAGCTTTTTAAGAAGGTTATTATATTTGGTTGTGCCAGGTCTTCGTTGCTGCTCCAGCTTTTCTCCAGTTGCAGAGAATGGGGGCCACTCTGAGCTGTGGTGTGTGCAGAGCACAGGCCCCAGAGTGTGGGCTCAGAACTTGTGCAGCACAGGCGCCCTGCGGCCTGTGGGGCCTTCCTGGATGTAACCCATGTCCCGTTGGCAGGCAGATTCTTAACCACTGGACCACCACGGAAATCCCCATTGTATTAAACTTTCTGAACTAAGTATTGCCTTTTTAAAAAATGAGAATTTTCTTTCATGGAGCTTCTATGAAGTTTAGTCACAGCTACAGAGGAGCTATCTTTTAATTGACTTTCTTACCCATACTTGCTGTCCTTATGGGTAAAAGGGAGATTTCCTCACATTGTTGCTGAGGTGCTAATAATGCTTGCTTTCTACGTGGGTACCTTGTGAAGAAAGTGTTGCATAAGTTTGTTGGTCCTTAGTGTTTTTTCCTGTTGCTCCTAAGCCAGAATCAACAACTCTGAAGACTGACATACTAGGAGCCATCTATATACCTTCTTTATACAGGTTCTATAACATAACCTAAGACAACAGGCGTTTTTCTTTTGTTTGACGATTAGATTAATATGCTGTGGAGAGGACTGAAGTCGTTTGCCTTTTCTTTTTATTTGTAGGAACCTCCAAGCAGCAATTGGCGCCTATTATGACTTTGAGAGCCCAAACATCAGTGTACCCTCCATGGCCTTTGTTGAAGACGTCACCATAGGGGAAGGGGAGTCCATACCTCCTGACACCCAGTTTATAAAAACGTGGCGGATCCAGAATTCTGGTAAATGTATAATGAGCAACCTCCCCTGCCCAGTTTTCTTTCTCTTAGCAGTTAAAAGAAACAAGGAAATGCTTTAGCTTGCGTTATGTGATTGTGTAGCTCTGAGTTCTCCTTACACGTCATGTTTCGTTTTCTTGTGCTGGTGTGATGACCCAACACCAATCAAACATTCCCTCGGTTAGGAAGCATTTCGGCCTTGACATTTAAACACAATTCAATATTCTTTTGATACCAGGAACTAGGCATGTGTGTGGTGGTGGTATTGTCTCCGCAAGTATAGCTCTACTCCATCATTTTATTTCTGCTCTATTTATCTTCCAGTTATTTCCAGCATGCTAGAGGAGGTACATCCTTGAAAAGAACAAGGTAGCTAGAGTTGTGAGCATCTGCTCTTTTGAAAGCTCATTTCTTTGGAACCACGAGGATTATTCTGTCTGAAATTTTCATTAAGCTATCTATCTGAGCTCTTATCCTCATTTTGAAAAAATAGGATAAGAAGTATACCAATTTGCTCAGAATAGAAAAGATGGAAAGATTGAAAAGTTGCTTTTTTAAAGAAGCATTGTTTTGACTTATTGCTGACTTAAGAAAAATTCAGCATAAGTTAATATGGTTCTTTGAAAATAATATCTGATAACTTGTTACATTCTTTTCAAATGACTTTTTAAATTTGAATGAGTTTATTAGCGTGTCTTGTTCCATCCAGTAACAATATATGCTGACTAGGTGAGGATGTTTTAACTTCCTTATTATTGAGTGTTTACAAAAGAAATTCTGGGAGATGGAAAGTTTTCTAAAAATACAAAAGGAGTACTTAGCTAAAATTTGTTGGTGTGGGGGATCCCTGTCTAGCATGGTAATCTGATGTGAAACCATAGAAAACTCTGGGGACTCAAACCTATAAAGGTTACCTTTTGTTGGGTCGCTGTTTACTTCTCAGTTCTTTATACTTGAGTTCTTTATGATGGGGAGACACTGGCTAAGCTAGCCTTTTATATCATAGTTAATATACCAAACTGTTATTCTTAGTTTGTCTGGCTTATTTGGAAATAACTTTAGTTTGGACGAAGGCTTGGTGTGTCTCGGAGCAAAAACACATAATCTGGATTGACCTGTTGTTGTGGGTGACTGGGACATCAGTGACTTTGTAAAGTTTTCATTAACTTCTTTTCCCCTTTCGTTGTAACAGTGTGGTGCATTATAAGTTTGAGAGGCACATGGTAATACAGGAAAATAGCTATGTTTTCCATTCTTGAAATTCTTGTTATAAGTTTGATTTATGTTCCTAATTTCTGTCTCACCTTTCCTAATGTTGCCTGCTTTTAAAAATGTTAAAACAATTTCTTCATGTCAGCTTTTTTTTTTTAATTTTTATTTTTAATTTTTTTCCATTTATTTTTATTAGTTGGAGGCTAATTACTTTACATCATTGCAGTGGTTTTTGTCATACATTGAAATGAATTAGCCATGGATTTACATGTATTCCCCATCCCGGTCCCCCCTCCCATCTCCCTCTCCACCCGATCCCTCTGGGTCTTCCCAGTGCATCAGGCCCGAGCACTTGTCTCCTGCACCCAACCTGGGCTGGTGATCTGTTTCACCCTAGATAATATACGTGTTTCGATGCTGTTCTCTTGAAACATCCCACCCTCGCCTTCTCCCAGAGTCCACAAGTCTGTTCTATACATCTGAGTCTCTTTTTCTGTTTTGCATATAGGGTTATCGTTACCATCTTTCTAAATTCCATATATATGTGTTAGTATACTGTAATGGTCTTTATCTTTCTGGCTTACTTCGCTCTGTATAATGGGCTCCAGTTTCATCCATCTCATTAGAACTGATTCAAATGAATTCTTTTTAATGGCTGAGTAATATTCCATGGTGTATATGTACCACAGCTTCCTGATCCATTCATCTGCTGATGGGCATCTAGGTTGCTTCCATGTCCTGGCTATTATAAACAGTGCTGCGATGTTCACATCAGCTTTAATTCATCATGTTTCTTCTCTGACTCACTAAAAATCTGTGTGGCTGATCAGAAATGCTTTTGAAATCTAGCCATGAATTTTTTTAAATGAGTGATGTTTGTTTAGAAAGAATACCTTATTAAAAGTTTTGTTTATTTAAAATAACTAATCCAAGACCTTTTTTACTTAATAGTGAAAACACTGGAAACGGTTTGGCTTTCCATGGGTTCTTTATAGTGTTCTTCAATATTGAAAGTTGTTAGAGTACTGTTAAATGTTTTAAATACCGTCTTGTTGCAGAATAACCACTTTATATTTCAGAAAGCCTCTTTGAAATACCTTCTCACTCGCTAGACAGTTCCTTGGGTTAATGGGAGATTGGAAGGGATTGATATAAAATGTCTAGAATGTCAAATCAGAACCCCAAAAAGCCTTTCACCTTGACTTGAAGAAAAATTTGTTTTGGTGGGACTGGTTCTTTTTCCTCCTACTTTTTGCATAATAACTGCAATTTAAAACAGTCTCTGGGTCTGCAGCCTTTCTTCCTGTAAAGGACAATTTTGTTCCTGTACACCTCTTTAAAAATTGGGCAGCAGTTGCTAGAAAGGTACTTTGAACAAATAGGTTTTTTCTTCTTCTGGAATTTTTATACCAATTGTAAAATACTTTTGTTTGTAGACTAAGTGCTTTCCATTTGATTAAGAAGAAACGGGCCTGCCATAGTTAAGTGACAGATATGTTTTTAGAGACAAAAGGAGGGCAGGCACGTGAGCTGGTTCTTCGGCGTCATCCTAATCCGCTTGAGTCCTTCTGCAAACAGAGTGGTAACACAGGAGTAGTGTAGACCAGAACTGCCCTGGTGCTCCAGCGGTTCAGACTGCGTGCAGGAGGCGTGGGTTCAGGCCCTGGTTGGGAAACTAAGATCTCACATCCTGCATAGTGAGGCCAAAAAAAAAAGAGGAAGAAGTAGAGTAGGCCTTAGCTCTTTCTCCTCTGGCTCTCATTCATAACCTTCCCTAAGAGATAAGCTCCCCCTGAAAGAGTGTCATAAATAATTTTCATGGTGCCTCTCTGCTGTCATGTTTCAGGCACACTGGACATTCAAATTTACAAAAGATGAGAATGATAGGAACTGCGTATAGCTGTCCCAGCACCTCCCCCAAGGAAGATAAATGTCAATACATTGTTTAAAATTAAATGCCTGATATGAAAGTGCTTAGATTCGTATCATGGAGAAAGAGAAGTGAGACATGTAGTGACATAGATGCAGAATCCCAGAGTCTACACTTTGGGTACTATGTAAGTTTTAGAAGTTTGGGGAAGCTTGCCAAGGATACTTTATAGTCTAAAATGAAAATTTGAAACTGTCCCTCTTAAGACAAAAGTAGACAGTTCTCTTTACCAATACTTAAAGCTTCTCAGTTATTGCAGCCATGCTCCGCTGTCCAGCTGTGAAGAGTGTTAAACTACGCATATTATGATAACTCTTATGTTTCTATGACTTTAATGAAGTAGTTGTGATTGTCATATGAGAGAGTGACTTCAAAGTCATCTATATTTTCTAAACTACATAGAAGTGAATATAAAACAAGAGTTGATGGGGGAGGAAGGGAAACTTGAGAAAGAACAACTATTCCCTCCAGTTTTCTTCAACTCCTTAATAGAGTTACATTCCTTACGTTCCAGTCACTGTATCAGGTACAGGAAGGAGAGTGGTGCCGAGATCAGTGAAGGTCTCTATTTGCCTGTAGCTTAATTTGAAATGCATTCTGTAAACTACGAGGGGTTAAAAAACAGAAGGGGGTCTTCATCGAGGTTTGTCTTTTGTCTTGCTCTTTGGTTGTTCTTCTGTCCCCAAACTAAATCTCAGACTTTCTGGAACTGGTGGACTTTTGTTTTTGCCATACTCACTATCATCTCAAAGTTGCCATATGATAGGTTTTTTGGTCTTGTTTTGACTTTTTATTTTTTAATAAAATTATATTCCATAATAATTGGATAATTACAACCTTTGTGTGCTTGTGATACTTTCCTTGGAAAGTCATCAAACATAGACTAGTCTTTCTTTTCTTCTAGAAGCATCTGTCTACCCCACAGTAAGCCAGTTTGTATCAGACTTAATTTGAAGCCCCATTATGTTATACTTCTCAAATCTAGATTTTTCTGGTATGCTTAGCTTGGTAGGTCAAACAGACATCAGTATTTCCCTTCCTTCTGTATCAAGAACCAGTTTCAGTGACCTTTTCAGAGTTACCTGACTTAGCAGTTGGAGTTGTAAGAACTATATGTCATTGTAAACTGTTGGCAGCTCTCAGAAGGCAGATGACTGGTTCTTCATTTTATAGCGTAGTAACACTTTAGCGCTGGTGGTGCATAACTCTTCCAGTTTTTTCTTCAAGAAGCTCTCCAAGGATCGGGATGGGGAACACATGTAAATCCATGGCTGATTCATGTCAGTGTATGGCAAAAACCACTACAATATTGTAAAATAATTAGCCTCCAACTAATAAAAATAAATGGAAAAAAAGAAAGCCCTCCAAGTACCACATCAGTAGGGTCTGACATAGAAAAAGATACAACCGTAGCCACATAATTTTTAATAGTTTCACAGTTTACCAAGTCTCCTTGGAATAGAGCAGTACTCCCTCTTTTGCATAGATGAGAGATCCAACTGTCTCAGCTGCTTGTGCTTGTCTGATCAGGGCAGCCAAGTATTTCCCATACCCAGGCAGTCTTGGTTTTCATTTTCTTTAAAATTCAAAAACATTCTTGGATTTTCATATAAACAGACATTGTCTTTTTTGATTTGTGTGTGTGTGTGCAAGTGTGCATATGTGCCTTTTAAAGAATAATTCTGGATTCACCCCTATAGTAGTAATTTAATTTTTTTTTTTTTTTTTGGATCTTGATCTTTAAAGAGACCAACATTTTCCAAGGTACTTCTCGTCAGCTGCTACTATTCTTGACCTAAGACAAATATGCTTTTGCTAGGCCATAGACCTCAGAAATGAAAAAAAGAATTTGCATATATTACCAGTGTATCATCTACAACCTTCTCAACAGCAGCAGTTGCCCTTTAAAGTGTTAATTTAAGAGGGCATTTTGCTGGCAGATTTTTTAAAAAAAATAATAAAAAACATTGCAACCACTGCTCCATCTTCTACCCCTAAATACCATGAGCCACAGCAGGTACCATTCATTATGAGTCTGAGATCTCAGCAGTAGAGTGTTGGTTGCTTTTCCTGTCCAGTTCTTGCTTTTTTCAGTAGTAAGCCATCAAGTTTCTAAACTGGCCTGGCGCTTCAAGAACAAGGGACTGAGGAATCCTAGAGTACTGTTAGATGAGTTTTCAACATGCTGAGAGTCCTGCCGTGTCCAGCTTTTCATAGTGATTTATGTTTATAGTGAATGTAAAAAAGATACAGAGAGGTTTCTCTGTAAAGTAAAAAGGAGTGTGTTGGAGAGACTTTACAGGAAATATCACATCTAGTCACTGTATGTGGCTACCTGTGACTGGTCAGCAGTCAATATATTGACTTCTCATGTGAGTTAGTTACATGAATATAGGTGCACAAGAATGGGAACCAAATGAGACCTTTGCCACTTCCAAAGGCGGGCAAGGCATTCCTGCCAAAGCTATTTCTCTGTCTTGCCATTCCTGTTCTTTCTACAGGCACCTCTGGCTAGCGTCATCACCCCTGAGACCATGGGTCAGTGTACTGTTATCAGGGCGTACTGTTCATATTTTCCCCTCTACTGTTTGAACCTGAAAATGAAGCTTTCACTTGACTCCTCTGTCTTTTGACCCTCAATCTTTTCACTGTTAGGGACTCCAGAAGAAAAAGCAGGGAAAAAGTAGTTTTAAAATGAAAGTAATACAGAAATTACTCTTCATGAGTTTCATCTTCTTTTCTCAAAGGAAAAACTGGGGACAATCAGGCATATTTTTACTTTGAATGTCAGTTTAAAAGTTCAAGTACAAATGGGCATGTTTCTTGGTAGAGAAAGCAGTCTTCCAGAGATGTGGGGCTGAGCTTCATTTCCATGGCTCCTTTCAGACATCATTCCTAGGTTCTACAGATTAGTGTGGTGTGTAGCTTTCACTGGGCACCCAAAACACTACTTCTTGAGAAACTGCCTTGCTTTTGTCATGTGTGCTTTCTGTTAGGGGTAGGCCATTGGTCAGAAGTTGTTGACTCTGATTCTCCCTAATCAGTGTGTAGCTCAAGAATATGGGTAGGTTTACGTATGTGTGAGAGACAAAGAGGCATCTTCTACAGTTTTGTAATGAACTGCACCCAGCATAGGACCACTGATTGCCTAACATGTTTTTCTTTTGCTTGAACTCAGGGGCAGAGGCCTGGCCTCCAGGGGTTTGTCTTAAATATGTCGGGGGAGACCAGTTTGGACATGTGAACATGGTGACGGTGAGATCGCTAGAGCCCCAAGAGGTTGCAGATGTCAGCGTCCAGATGTGCAGCCCCAGCAGAGCAGGAATGTATCAGGGACAGTGGCGGATGTGCACTGCTACAGGACTCTACTATGGAGGTGAGTATGGCCCTGTGCAGCCCAGGGCGAAGGGATTGAGGTAACATGCAGCTTCCCCAGCCCTGCTCACAGAGCGTGTCAAATTCCATAGCAGGGTGTGGTCTCTTTTCCAGCCCCATGCTAGTAAATGATTTGAATTTAATGACTAATTGATTCAGTCTATTGTTCTCTTTACACTGGAATTTAGTTAACATTTAGTGAAGTGTATGAGATATATCTTGCAATCTAAACAGTGACTTAGTAGCACTGCTGTTTTTATAGTATAATCTAGTAGGTGCTCTAAGAATACTGAAGGCAGTTTTTATTCTCACAGTCTCTAGAGACAAGTTGTATTAAAGAAAAGGTATAATGCACAAAATGTGCCTATGTCCCTGATGACCTGTCAAGATACTAAAACCTCTCACTCCTTCTCTTTATTGCCACACTTTGTGGACAGAGTGATTTCCATTCATTGTCTCTTATTTCCATATCCCTTTATTCTTCAACCTGGTCAATCCTATACACACTTCAGTGATGTTTATTAGCAACTACCGAGTTTCCAAATTCAGTAGCCACTTTCCAGTCTTCACACTAACTAACCATTTGGCACCAAACTCTGAATGGTTTCTGAAATGTCTACCTTCTTAGTCACACATATCCCTTTCTTGTTTTTCCTCTGAATGTTCTTTATCTGTCTAGCCTCATCTTTGTCCTGAGACTATAGGCGTACCTTGATTTATTGCTGTTCACTTGATTGTACTTTACAGATAATTTTGTTTTTTTTACAAATTAAAGATTTGTGACAGCCTTTTGTTGAGCAGGTCTGCTGCTAGTGCCATTTTTTCAACAGCATTTGTTCACTTTGTGTCTCTGTGTAAATTTTGGTAATTCCACCAATATTTCAGACTTTTTCATTTTTATTATATTTGTTATGGTGGTCTGTAGTGAGCGATCTGTGTTGTTTCTATTGTAACTTTTGGGGTGCCATGAGCTGTACCCATATAAGACTGTGAACTTAATTGGTAAATGCATGTGTTTTGACCACCAGCCAGCCATTCCCCCATCTCTCTCCCTTCTCCTTGGGCCTATTCCCTGAGATAAAACAATGTTGAAATCAGATTAGTTGATAACCCTTCAATGGCCTCTAAGTGTTTTAAGTGAAAGGAAGAGTCACATATTTCCCACTTTAAAGCAAAAGCTAGAAATGATTAAGCTTAGTGAGGAAGGCATATCAAAAAATGAGACCAAATGAAAGCTAGGTCACTTTCACCAAACAGCTAAGTTTTGAAAGCAAAGAAAAAGTCCTGCAAGGAAAGGAAAAGTGCTACTCCAGTGAACACATGAATCATGAGAAAGTAACAGCCTTATTGCTGATGTGGAGAAAGTTTGAGTGGTCTGGATAGAAGATGAAATCAGCCACAACGTTCCCTTAAGCTAAAACCTAATCCAGAGCAAGGCCCTAACTCTTCAACTCTATGAAGACTGAGAGAGGTGAGGGAGTTACAGAAGAAAAGGCTAAAGCTAGCAGAGGTTAGTTCTTGAAGTTTAAGGAAGGAAGTGATCTCCGTCACATAAAAATGCAAGGTGAGGGAGCACGAGCTGATGCAGAAGCCGCAGCGAGTTTCCCAGAAGATCCAGCTGAGATGATTCACCAAGGGGCTGCCCTAAGCAACAGATTCTCAGTGTAGACAGAATACTGATACTGTTAGAAGATGCCATCTAAGACTTTTCACAGCTAAGGAGGAGACGTCAGTGCCTGGCTTCAAAGGACAGGCTTTCTTGCTAGGGGCTAATGCATCTGGTGGCTTTATGTTGAAGCCAGTGTTCACTTACCATTCTGAAACCCTAAGGTCCTTAAAAATTATGCTAAGTCTATTCTGCCTCTGCTCTGTAAATGAAACAGCAAAGCCTGGATGATTGTACATCTGTTTACAACATGGTTCACTGAAAATTTCAAGCCTACTGTTAAGACTTACTGCTCAGAGAAAAGGATTCCTTTTAAAATGTTACTACTCATTGACAGTGATCCTGGTCACCCAAGAGCTCCAAGGGAAATGTACGAGATTTTCGTGTCTACTAACACAGCATTCATTCTATAGTCACAGATCAAGGAGTCATTTCTACTTTCAAGTTTTATTCTTTAAGAAATACATTTTGTGAGTTTATAGTTGCCCTAGATAGTGAATCCTCTGATGCACCTGGGTAAAGTAAATCCTTCCGGAAAAGACTAAGAACATTAAGAATATTTGTGATTCATTGGGACGTCAAAGTATCAACGTGATCAAGATTTTGGAAGAAGTCGATTGCAGCACTCACGGATGACTTTGGAGGGGTTTCAAAATTCATTGGAGGAAGTAACTGTAGGTGTAGTGGGCGTAACAAGAGTACCCGGAAGGGGAGCGTAAAGATAGGACTGAGTATGCAAGTTCAGCATAAAACTTGAACTAATGAGTTACTTCTTAAGGTAAAGAAAGAAAGCAGCTTCTGAGATAGAATCTTCTCCTGGTGAAGGTGCTGTGGAGGTTGTTGAAAGAATTTAGAATATTACATAAACTTAGCTGATAAAGCAGTGGCAGGGTTTGAGAGGACTGAGTCCCAATTTTGAAAGAAGTCCTACTGTGGGGAAAATGCTGTCAAAACAGCCTTTCATTCTACAGAGAAATTGTTCATGAAGTCAGTCAGTGCAGCAGGCTTCATTTTTCTTCATAACATTTATATGCACTGGGAAACAAAAAAAATCATTCACTTTATGGCAATATTCACTGTATTGCATTGGTCTGGAACCGAAGCAGCTTTATCGCCAAGGTGTGCCTGTGCTAGATTGTGAACTGGGTGCTGTTCATTCTCAGTGACTTCACCCACTCAGATGGCTTCAGCTGTCACCAGTACAACATATATGGCAGTGCTCAAAGTCATATCTGTGGTGCAGACTTTTTGGAGCTTCAAACCTTTATTGAAGTGCTTATAGACAGAACCCCTGGATATTTTGTAGAGTTTTGAATTTTAACATCTCCTAGGCAAAAACTTATTCTTCTTATGGGAACCCAGCTGAGATGATCAGGCCAGAAGCTTGAGTTATCTTTTGTTCTGTCTTATCATCGTTAATCACACACCAATTCCTATTTGTTTCTCTATATCCCATGTCCTAGAGATCTAGAGAAAAATAAATACAAATCGCTTCTGTCCTCAGGGAGCTCTTATCTGGACTCATAGCCAGTGGGACCTTTGGAGTTACTTTAAGAAGTCCTGGAATTAATTTTCTCATATATATTTTTGCAGCCAGTGGAAACTTGAAATATTTTTCTGCCTGAAAAAAATGTTAGAAAGTGTATCTCATAGTGTCATCTTTTGTGAAATCATTCCTTTCTGAAAACCTTTGTGCCTTCTGTAATAGAGCCAAATTCCTTGGCATTGGGCTTAAAGCTCCTCACCATCTGGCCTGGCCTCATTTTCACTTTCATCCTCAGTCACCTCTTTACTCACACATCCAGTCCCCAGAGACACCATGTGGTTTCTTTTCTCCATGCCCTTGCTTGTGTTGTTCCCATTGCCTGAAATGCCTTTTTCTTTACAACAAACCCCTGCTCATCCTCAGGGCCCTGGTGAAGTCACCTTTCCTCCTTCCCTCTTCCTGCTCTCCCCACCACCCCAAGGAGATTCGTATATTATGCACACACGTTATAATTAACATATCGTGTTTTAGGTGTTTGTTTATTTATCCTTTTCTCCTACTAAATAGTAAACTGTTGACTAAAGAGTTGGAACATGGAAGAGTTGACACATGGAACAGTCATGTGTCAGCGTGCAGAGTCTCCCTTTTTGGACTCTGTCTTTAGGCCTCCGCTCCTGAGAGTGTTCCTGCTTGCACAGGCGGAAGTTGTTTCCCCGTGCTGTGCTCCGTTTCCTATAAGCTTCCCTCTCTCTCCTTTGCTTCTCTTTGGCCTGTACCTCTTTCTGCCTAGTTAATTTGGGAATGTCTAATATCACTTTTAAAACTTAAGGTGATACATGTCTTGTGTATCTTTGTATATCTTGAAAAAGCTGAGCCCGTTGGAGAGTGGCTACTCAATAAATTTTTAAATGCATGTCAGTGTTTTTAAGGGAGGAGGAAGACAACATACATGACTTTAAAAAAAAATTTCTTTGATGCATAGATACTGCTTCCTCGTGTTCTCCCTTGTTTGAGACCTCTAGTCTTATTTTGTGTGTGTGTGTGTGAATATTAAATTAAAAATAATTATCACTTAAAAAAATTATCACTATATGGGACATTAAAATGTATACTTATAACATCCCTCCCAAATTCTGTAAGTAGGTAGAATGTAAATATATTAGTACTGAAGGCAGTGAAAAATGGAAAGCCTTTCTTGGTCATATGGTCTGTGAGTTGTTTTTCAGGACTTTGAAATCTTACACCTTCATGGGATCTTAATAATTCATCTGAATCCATGGTTTTCAAGCATTTTTCTTAATTAGTGGAATCTTCTCCTTGATAAATGTATGTGAATGCCTCCTCCAAACAAGAGAAGATAAAAATGAAACTGACTTTTTTGAATGGGGAGCCTCCTTGGCCTATGTCACCTGCTCTCTGAGATAATCTCCATTGCTCTGGGGAGTATAGTTTGCAAACTGGTCATCTAGTCTAATAAAGAATTTAATTCCATTTACAAGCTACCATATTCCAATGAATTCCTTTTACTGTTGATTGTAAAACACATAATGATAGCAGAACTGTTAAATGACTGGCAGAAAGTGAAATATACATAATATGCATAAAGCCGCAACTATGGACATGTGGGGAAAAAAACAAGGTGCCATATTAGCCTTGGCATGATTGGCTCTTTCAGGTTTTCTCCTCACTCTTAACTTGCTAGTGCACTGAGTTTAGTGTAGTGCTAGGAGTTTGGAATGTAGGACTACGTTTCCTGGGCACAAATTTGGACAAGTTAGGTAACTTCTCTTTGCCTCATCTTTCTGTTTTAAGACCAAAGCTTATTTGTTTGCTTGTTTTTGGTTTTGGT